GGACATGCGCTTTTGTACATCGCAAAGTTCTAATGACTTCAGTAAATGTCTTATATATGAATTGCTGTATCGATAAAAGTCATTGCTATACTATAGAGAAAAAACAATTAATACACTGAGTAAAGCAGTGAGACAACCATCTGAGTACAGATTACTTTTATTAACTAAGTCTTAAAAGGAAGTTGCATCCTTTACAGGTTATAATAATTCCTGAGATTTGGCTTATAAAACAGAAAATTTAATGATGCCTGGTTCTACAAGGTACAGGGTATTGCAGGCTTAGGACCGATGGTTCAGTACAGAGTTTCTGCAACTCACATGAAAATACACATGCTTTCTGTTTTAAGCCCATGCTTGAGCCCTGGATTTTGTCCTGATGGATTTACTGACACACTGCTTACATATCCAAGCAGAGAAAGACCTCAGCTTCAACCAGCCACCTAAAATTGAATCCTGTCTGTGGTGTTCTCTTCTTCTCCATGTTTCTGGGAGACAGACTTCAATATCAGCTGAGAGAAAGCCCTCTTAAATATGTCTACAGTCAGATAAGGAATAGCAACTGACAGAGTTGGTTAGGAGCATCCTCCTAACTCATCTTTCTGTTATGATGTGTATCCTATTAAACAGCATAATTAAATGGTCCTGCCAGTGATCCCACACCTATTGCAGAAGGACCTTCTGCAGTTCTTCACAGGCACAAAAATGAAAAAACAAAAAGAAAAATCAAAACTAAGGTCAATAAAGAGATCCAAGTATGAGGTATCTCACAGAGCATGTTCTATAATGTAGCCAAGGATCAAGCAAGATCCTTGCCTGTTCCACAGTTTTGGGGAACTATTTGTGCTACTTAAAAATTAAATCTCAGGCATTAGTCTAGCAAACCCACTTTTCTCTTCATAGGCCAGAGCTTTTTTTCAGTGATTTCCAATCTTTTACAGTAGGAGATGCCCATTTTTTTCATGTGTATTGTTACTTCATTTGAGTTGGTTGGAAAGCTTGTATCATTCTATGAACTTCTGTGCGCACATAGAAGTACATGCAAACATGTAAGCTGACAGCACCTTGAATCTTTATTTATAGTGTAACAATCCACTTGAGATGGATGTAGAATTCAAACCTTTTAGCAGAGTATGAAGTCTTTTTCTCAAGTCCTCTTACTTTCCTTTTGTCTGCTCCTCTATTGCTCCACACTATAGCCTTTTATCTGAACATAATATATTTAAAAACTATGTACACATACTCATTTCCATACATGCTCTTTCTAAAACTATATGTAGCTGGGTTGGGGAAAAGGCAGAGAAATAACACAACAGGTTTTATTTATGGAGTTCTGAGAGCAGACTTCTTAGAAACAGGGATAGGCAGTAGCGATAACCTTCCGAAATTATGAACAATTGGTTTGGGGCAATGGCTGTCAGTATCCCATATAAACAGTTCTGAGCTGATGGAAAGCTGGAAAGCAAGAGAAATCAGACATATGTATGTGCTGCTCTCCTAAGAGCTGAATTATCTCTGGCCCCATGTCAATTATTAAGCTTGTTTAACAAGCCCTTTTCAAGACTGCTGCATCTCTCAGTGCTGAATAATTATAAGCTTCATTAAACACTTCCTTGAAAGAGATCTAGTGCTTTGGTAGCTGAAGCAGAGGTTCAGTGTCAGCTGAGAATAGTCAGTGAAATTCTCACAATTC